ATTATTATTATTATTATTATTATTATTATTATTATTATTATTATTATTATTATTATTATTATTACTATTAATATTATTATTATTATTACCATCATTATTATTATTATTATCATTATTATTATTATAATTACAATTATTAAATTAAATAGGACAATTTTACTTATAATACATGATAATCGTAGCATTATGAAAAGCCAAACTAATATAGCACCGAATTTAACTGAAAATGAAAATGTCAAATGTAAGTTCACAATTTTACTCTATTAATCCCCCTGTTTCCAAATTAAATAGGTGATAAAGGAGATGACTAGTGATAAAAGAGATATATTCTATCATTCAACGAATCAATTAATATTTACTATTAAAGGAAAAGAAAGGGAAAGAAATTCAATCTCACTATTCATAGCAAATCATCGGCTATAACTAAAAAATAAAGAATCAAATCCAAACATGAAAATATATTCAAATAACAAAAGAATGAAAATTTTTTCTAAAAAAAAGAAAAAAACAAGTAAATGAAATTTATTTCATGAGTAATCATATGTCACTTATTGGAAAAATAATTGACAGTTCTTTGTTTTTCTAAATTCTTTTTTTTTCCTTTTAATTGACATCTTTAGAAAAGTAGTATGAAATGCAGGTAAATGATTGCAATATTATAATTTTTATTTTAGTGAATTTGATAAATTCTGAATATTTCATTGTTTTTCTTTTTTTTTTTGCTTTTGCTAATTTGATAAGGAATCATAATGTAATTAATGATAATAATGATAATACTACTAATTTTATTATTATTTTATAACGTGACAGTTATTGAGGTCGGTCACAGACCAGTCGTTCTCGTTCCGGTATTGTCGCACTACACGTTGTCATAAATGCATTGGCATTATTTAATGGCCGTATAACTGAATCCCGATAAATTGCATTTAATGGCATACCACGTCTGTTCCGATCTGCGCATCGAATCTTTCGTAATGGATCTATAAAATTATTAACTTTAATTTTTACACAAAGATAATTTTCCTTAAATTTCAAATCACATTTATGAAAATTTACATAAATTAAACCTTATATGCTACAGTACTTACAAAAAAAAGAAAAAAAAAGACAAGAATAATAAGATTTCGGATTTTGCAATGGATCCTGTAAAATTATATTAGTAATAACATATTTAACAATACACATCTTTGAGTAAATTAGAAGACAAGAATCATGAACCCGTAAAATCTTACCGTCTTTCCCATTAATTTATGATGATTCATTTTCGAATTACTGATAAATAAAAAAAACTAAAAGTTCTATCCCAAAATAATAGAAAAAATCTTACAAAATTTTAACTACATTATTAGAGTTATTTTCAACCTATTTTAATTATTGAATTCAATTTAATTACTCAAGTAGTTATGTAAATTGATTACATAAGTTTCCATTTAATTGAATTAATATTAATCCTATACAATGAAATATTTCGATCAGAATTTAAAATGGTATGAATAAAGGGAAAATCTTTCAATTAATTGTTAAATTTTAATCCGCTAAATAATAATTATTATTAATCAGTTTTTTTTTTTTAATCTTCCCTATAATTTTGTAAACATGAATATATTCATCACAAATATATCCTATATAAATTAAATTTGATATATCAGAAGAATATTTAATTAAATTTGTTAGCATACCTGTTTTATTATGAATAAGCCATAAAGTAGCCACAAATGCAATACCAAAAGCAAATGATATAATAGCAATTATAATGACAACATATAATGGTATACCATCTAAATGACATTCTTCTTCCTTTCTTAATGCTTTTTCAACTGCTACAGCACATACTCTTGCACATTTTGAATCTGAAATTAATTATAATAATTAATTATTAGAAGCTTCCTTCTTTCTTTTTCTTTTCGTAAAATTTAAAAAAAAAAAATTTTAAGAATGTAACAAAATTTTTACATGAAAATAAAAATTTTACCATATGCAACATTGATAAGATTATCGTCACTTTCAGCGACAAATTCATCAGAAATTAATGCATCATCATTATCTGATATAGATTCACTAGCATTTGCCAAAAGAATACGAATTGTAGAACTTGAAGTGACTGTTACTGCTTGTTGTAGATAAGGCTCAATCCAATTTAGTAGATTTTGTCTTTCATTGGATATTGATGAACAAAATGATGCTCGTGGACACTGTAATATTATCAATTTATGCAAAATAAAAAAATCTTTTTTTTGAAAATTTCAGATAAATCAAGAAAAAAATGTCAGCTTTTTCCATTCATAGTTAATAATTTTGATTGTTTTTCTTAATTTAAAAAAACTTAGAAAAGAAAGATTCATAAAATGGAAATTTGACGGAAACAACAACGCTAATTTGATTTAAGCTTAGTAATTTAAAAGTTTGATGTGAAATTATGTTATTATCAAATAATATGTTATAATGAATCTGATTACATCGTAATCAGTAATTTTGATTTCGTTATTCCAGATCATTTTCCAAACATAGCATTACTTATATGATGATAGCAATTTTTTTTTCCAAGCAATTTCAAATATGTCCACATTAAAATTACTGTATATCCATCAGAAACCCTAACGACCATATCAATGATGAACAAAAAAAAAAGCCGTTATTCAAAAAAGAGAAATCTTACTTTTATTTCAAGTGGTTACTGTTTGTAAATATTTTTATTATAAGTAATATCAAATTAAGAGTTCCTTTACAATATATCCATTAAACATGGATTTTTAGTTATACTAATTCATTAAACATAAATATATTATGATGATACATTGCAGTGAAAAAAAAAAAAAAAAAATTACAATCTGTGAATGACAAAGATGACAGTACGATATGGTATGGTACGGTATACGTTTGGAGATGGATAGTGAAATGGGAAAGATATACCACTTATATAAGATTGAACTAAGGTTCAACAAACATATCAACGCCTTCATCTATTACTATGATCAAAGTGATGACATGACAGTAACCCTTCTAATGATATTGGAAGAAAAAAAAATGACCTCGCTTTTTAATGTATTAAATAAAAAGTGTACAAATGACCTGTCATTACCAATAAAGGAAAAAAAAAAGAAAGTTCAAAATCTTGCTACAATAAATTGAAAAAAATATACTAAATTGGTAATTAATAATGTATATCGAAGAAATTAATTGTCCAATATTATCGACAAATACATTTATACATTCATTTCCCTTTTAAAGATATTCAAAGGATGTTATCTATGCTATTCATTTTGCTTTTAACATAATTTATGAGTGACAGCAAAAAGCCAGACAGGAAACTGTCATAAAAGTAAGCTGATTGTTTGAAAAGTATTCAAGAGCATATGTCTGTCGTGCTAAATGTCGTTTTGCCTTGAACCTGTCTGTCAGGATAAATTTGTCCTTGAGGAATACTAGAGAAGTGCAATATTGAAGCTATCAATTCTAAAGTCAAAATTTTTTTCAAAAAGAAAAAAACGGAATTTTTAGGCTTTCAAGATTAAAACCATGCCGTTTGGTGATAGTCTAAAAAAAAGAAAACTATCTCTTCGCAAAAAATTTCTGAAAAATATAGTTGAAATTGGATAAATGAATTTGTTCAATTTGAAGCTTGTGTTTATCAAACTTTTACGTCAAAAAACACAAATTTAAATAAAACATAGAAACATGGAGAGTTTTTTTTTCCGATCAACTTTATACTCGAAAATATTTGAAAATTTTAATTTAAAAAAAAAGTTAATTTAAATTTGAATTAAAAAATTTGTAATTTATCCATTTAAATATTCATTGAGTACAAGGAAAAAAAAATCTTATCTATTTGCTGATAAAAGAAAGGGCTATAGAACTTCTTCAATTTAAATCAAATTAGTGAAATCAGTTCACTGAAATGCTTACTCCTCTTGATCATTTAATATCACGCTAAAGTAATGACAAATGTGTGGATGTACGTGATTTTCGGATAGACATGCGCTTAAAACCAATCTGATTGAAATGAACTGAAGTTAATTTTTAGCTTATCCTTCCAGTTATATTACCAAAAATTGAATAAACAAACAAAAACGAAAATTAGATTCACATTTCTGCTCTATTCTCCGCTCATAATGTATGAAATAAGAAACTAATGAAGCAAAAAATTATCATTTTTAAAAAAGTTATCACTATCGATGAACCAAAAATTATCATTTTTAAACAATTTTAAAGTTAATTTCCATTTTTCGTCCAACTATTCTGTAACATTCTTATTCAATCAATCAACAATGACTTAATTAGCTTTTTTTTTATTTTTGTGAGAACATTTCGTAATGTCGAAAATAATATAATTTATAAAATATCAAATATACGACACTAACTTTGGGTTGCATATGACAAAAATATATTTCTGCTGATTTATGCTATCGATCCAATGTTAGAGTTTATTTATAAATTTATAGATTTCAATAAAAAAAAGAGGTAATATGGAAACATGCCGTAGGAGTATTTTGAAAGCCATTTAACTTATGAGCCGTACAGAAAATTACATCGCAATGAAGCGAAATGCGCCCGTATTCAATAGATTCATCGACCACTACTGATCTTAAAATGGATGAATTGAATTTTCTAATAAACGAATTAAAATTCTAATAATACGATAATGATACTTTTTTCTTCCTCAAAAATAGGTAAATTTTTTGGTAGAAAAAGATTATAAGAAGTAAAGAGAATTTCAATAAATTCTATTATTTCCATTGAGATATGGAAAAGATAATGTTGTAGTTATAAAGAACTAACTCATTTAATAATGAAGGATTAACTAAATTACGAGTAATCGGTATCTTTATTTTAGTCCATTCCACATAATGACCAGTACCCGTTTTCTGAAATTACAAAATAATTAATTTTTAAAAAGTTAAAGAATCTGTAACAGAAGGATTAAGCATTAAAAATGGAACTAAGAAAATACGGTGAATTTTTGGTAAAGAAGGTATTTATGTGGTATTGAAATCTGATTATTAAGAAAAAAAAGGTTCCTACTATTCACCTATGTTGTTATTAAAAAATAAAAAAATTCAATTTAAATTATTCTTTTTTTTTAAATTTAACAACTACTAAAAACATTCATACACTATGCATTTATACATTATTACAAGTGTAAAAATATTTTGCAAATATTTAAAAGTACTCATTCTTTCACAATTTTTAGCAAAAAAAAGAAACTTGGAAAAGCTTAAGGAGAGAATAGAAAGAGATAATGAGAGGAGTAATAACATACTTGCTCTAAAAATGCTAACACTGAATTGTCATCAGTAGATGGACATCCATTTTCAATAAAATATCTGAAATAAATTTAGTTTTTTTTCTTTCCTTCATATAAAAATTAGCATATAATTTGATTTTATAAATCTTTTTAAACGAAAAATATAAGATTGTAGTTTAATACTAACCTACGAGCTAATTCTACAGAATTTGCTAATTGTTTGCTAGAAGAAGAAGCAGTAACAGTAGCAGTAGTAGCAGTAGTAGTAGTAGTAGTAGCAGTAGCAGTAGTAGTAGTAGTAGTAGTAGTAGTAGTAGTAGTAGTAGCAGTAGTAGTAGTATCAATAACTGTAGGAATGGTAATCCAACAACGTAACGGATATGTGTGTAATCCTGAAAAATTATTATAAATTGTGATAAAAAATTGGAAAGTTTTTTTGTGATGCAATATTTGTAATATTATTTATATTATGAATAAAATGATTTGTATATATACATATGTATGTATACATCCTTATTTTCTTCGCCACATAAAGCTAATTTAATCTATTCTAATTAACCTAAACAATCAAATATTCGCAGTGAGTTAACCCAACTTATTCAGAGTAAGTTAAGTAAAATAAAATTTATTTACAGAATATTATAAAATGTTATTAAGGGATCATACTTATAAAATATACCATTTAAATGTGTTTTAATGGACAATGCATAGTTTACTAAAAATCATAAAGAAACTTACTTTCTTGCATTCCCTCGAATGTTGGTTCAATAGCAACATACAAATTACTGCCTAACCGTATAGATACCGGTTTTGCTTGAGCTAATGATGATGAATGATGAGTATTGGTAAAATCTACCGATGATATCCGGATCGGTTTACCAGATGTTACCATTTTTGCCTGCAAACATGAAATTATAAATATCATATTAATGCTCTTCATTTCTTTTCTTTTTTTTTTTTTTGGAGAATAAATGAGCGAAACAGTTGAAAGATTCGGAAGAGTTGAAAGAAGTCGGAAGAGTTGAAAGGGATGAAAAATAAAGATTTAGTAAAAATATCTTTCAAATGAAGAAAAAAATTATTTGAAAAAATTGACTAATCAATTAATTAACATCCTATAAAATCACGAAATGGATGATATAAGCGATTCTTAACGTGCAGGCAAAAGTCATAAAGCAAAAAGATTTGCGCTAAAAAAAAAGAAAAAAAAAGGAAACCTTCAAAGAAATGAGAAACATAGATAACAAAGCTCAAGGTTCATGTATCTAATTAATTAACTGCCTGTTAGACTGTGAAAGTAAAGCTAAATTTTAATTTGTTTTTCCTCTCAAAAATTTTCGGGGAAATAAAAGATTGAAATTTGAAAATTCGAACAAATCAAAACAACTACTTTTACGAATAATTTACTTGTATTAACAAAGTATATGTAATAAATGGAATGGAAATGAATTTAGTAACTGAAAATAATGAGGGAAAAACATATGGGAGAAATTCCATCAGTAAAATACTAGAGAATATGATGTATTTACTTATGAAACTAGAAATAAGTAAAAGAAAATAAAAACTAAAAGTAAGGAAAAATTACCTTAACATGAGATTCTACGAATGGTACCGCACATTGAATCTCAAACTGCTCGTTCACATTACCAATACCCCAGAAATGAACCTTAAATATAGAAATATTGAAGGAAATTATCTGTATTGAAATGGATTCTTTTTTTTCTTGAATTAAAGAAAATTTTTAAATTTTTATCATAATTTATTACATTATCTTTTTTTCTTTGCAATCATTTTATTAGTTAAATTACTCGCAAAGTACGTTAGCTGACATGTAATACTTTACCTTCTAAAATCCATCCAAAACTTTTTACAATATATTTAGATTACATAAAATAATGAAATAGGAAAGTGAATGAAAAAAAAAGTTCCAACCTTAGCAATAAAATTGAAGCCACCAGCAAAGAATGTCTTCTCTATACCGCATTTACTATAACCAACTAATACTATGTGATACTGAAAAATAAACTTTTCTTTTTTTTTAAAAAGTGATAAACAAAGAAATTACAAATCCCTGAGAAAAAAAATTCAAACAAAATTTAATAAGCAATACATATTTTGCATTAATAAATAATTTCATTGATAAATAATAATTTTATCATCATTTTATGAACTAGCAATTCATTACTATATTTAATTTGAAATGTCATCAGAACTAGCATAATTATTCGAAAAACAAATGTAATTCATATTGATACAATCTGTGGACAAGAATTACGGTTTTTATTGTTTTTTTCCAAAACAAAAAAAGACAAATTAACTTTACTTTCTTGAGAATTAATTAATGAACTAGTATTATTCCGCTTAAAATGTTTATCAAAGACCGATAAAAGTTTGTTGAGTGATAAATAGAAATTGATCCTTATCATTCTTGTGCTACTTATAA